CCAAGACCTGCAGAGCGGTGGTGAGCTCTCACCATGACAATAGCAATCATTGTCATCACCATCATAAACGAAGCTTGTGGTTAGTGAGTACTTACTAAGTACAAAGCCCTGAGATCAGTTCCTTACATAGGTCACATCACCAATCCTTTCAACAGCCCTCTGAGGCAAAAGCACATATTGCCTTCAGCTGTCAGATGAAGAAACAGAGGCTCTGAGAGGTTAAGTAATTCGCCCAAGGTCACACAGGCTGTAAGCAGGGAAACCAGGATTCAAAGCCTCTCTCAATCCCTGTGCTTTGAATCTCATTCTCTTGGGCATTCCTCTCTCACCCTGGGTTAGCAACACAGCACTAAGCATTCTGGGCCTGGCATGTGAGCTTCCTGGAGGGCAGCCCAGGTCAGCTCATCGTCATCCTGTGTAGAATGGGGAGTTTCACAAGATAACTCATCCTTCTGACAAATCCCCTTTACTCTAGTTGCCTGAGACTCTTTTCATAAAATCCAGATACTTGAGAAATGGAGCCCTCAGCATCCTCTCCCTCCTCTGTTCCCCTTTCACCTGCTCCCTCATGGCATCCAGTTGGCTAGAAACCTCTCTGCTGTTTATTTACCTCTTATAAGCCCTATCTCCTCTCAGAAAGCCATTTAGCATTGCACCACTTAATTTTCCTTAAGGCAGAATCTGCCAGATGGAGCCTTCGTCCCAAGCTATGTTGATTTGTCTTATTTTTAAACAACAGCAAACATTGCATAAAACTAAAATAGCAGTCGGTTCCCAGGTGTGGACTCACTAGCAGGGGGACAGTCCAGGATGTGTGGATGTGTCCACCTGGGGCAGCTGTCCCAAACAGGCCGGATTAATGAAAGATTGACCTCTGCAGGCAGCTCCTGGCCAGCTGCCGGTTTTGCCTGGGGTTCACTCCATGCAGGAGCATCAGTCATCACCTCCCCTCACTGAACCCCCTTGGGCTGTGCATTCCTGACTTTTCCACAGACATGGTTCTGACAGTGGAGGAGACAAAGTGGACCCTAGAGAATGAAGAGACCAACATAAAGTAGCACAGTGCAAGAAGGAAATATCCCTGATCTGATTTTTTAATCCCTAAAATTCCTACAAAATGTGCCTCTGATTCCATAATATAACTATGTTTAGTTACTATCCATAAAATTCCTCAAATTTCATACCAGCCAGACTACTAAACTATGTTTCCCCTAAAATTGTTTTTGAAATGAACGCCCCCAAAGTCATATTGATCCCATAGCTTTATTATTCCTAGATGCCCACCAGGGTATTCTGGAAGCATGTGTGCTTGTGTTTGAGAAGCGCAACCCTGGGGCTGGGCAATCTCTGTCTTGGGGAAGGCAAACCTACAACCGTGACTGAGAATGTTCCTTCACCGCTGCGTGCTGTCCTAAGGAAGAGAGGATATGTCTAAAGGAAAGACAGGCAATCATCACCAGCACAGCAGTGACCTCCTTGGGATGCAGCAAGTAAATGTAAAGAAGACAGGCTAGTCTGACTTGCTGCTTGTGGGTGGCTCCATTGATACTTACATCACGACAGGACTTGGGAGGGCAGTACTCCCACCCAGCTCACAGAAGTGACAGCTCAGAAAAACACTTATGCCATAAGCTCCTCTCCACAGCACTCCATCTTCCAGCACCTTTATAACCTACATCCTAGAATAAGCAGTACAGTCCTTTATTACAAAGGGGAAAAATGAGATTGAGTGTTCATGGGTAGAGGTGCATTGGCCTTGCCTTTGATATGCTCTGTATGCAGATTCTGGACAACTAGCATTTGCCAAAACCTTCAAAACGAGTGTGCTCTGGGAGGGTTGGTGATCAGGATATTGCCCAGAATGAAAGTTGTTCTCCCTGATTCCAATGTCAAATACCAGGTAGAATGCTGAGATTATAGCAATCAACTGATAAGCCACTTCCCCAAAGGCATTATCCAGCAGGACATGGTAGCCAAAGGAGGGGAAAAAAGAGGAAGACAAGACAGAATGAGTGGTAAATTCTTTGTTCCTTGGGGCAATTTTGCTATAATATTTAAGGATTTTTTAGAGCACTTTAAAAAAAAAGAAAACCAGTGTTTCCTCTATAAGATTCTTTTCTCACAGAGCGTATGGACCATTCTGGGGTCTGTAAGCAGCCTTACACATGGATATTTAACAGGTTTTCCCAGGGCTGCTTTGAAGAAAACATATCATCCCCTGAGTCAGCAGAAAGGCCGTGAAGTGTTTGACAGTTACAATGGCACTCTTGGTGAAGGGGTTTCCACCCTAAGTATATAAATAACCAACCAAATTTTTAAATAATCAAATGTATTTCCAAAATGACACAGGGAAACAAATCTGGGGTGACTGCCCCTATTCTTCATAGAAAATAAAAATGAGGGTTGGGGGGAGATGGGATGGTTAATGGGTACCGAACAAAACAAAACAAAATAGTTAGAAAGAATGATTAAAACCTAGTATGTGATAGCACAACAGGGCGACTGTAGTCAATAATAATTCAATCATATATTTTTAAACACCTAAATGAATATAATTGTATTGTTTTTAACACAAAGGATAAATGCTTGAAGGAATAGATACCCTGTTTTCTATGATGTAATTATTATACATTGCATGACTATATGAAAGTATCTCATGTACCTTGTAAATACATATACCTACTATGTGCGCACAAACATTTTAAGGAAAAGAAAAGTGATATGCGTGAGTGGAAGCACAGAATGAGCTGATCAGTTGAGAAAGGTGCTTGGAAACCTGTTATTTGCTTTGACATGTAAGGTGGAATTATTACTAAAATTCCACAGACACATCACCCCCAAAATCCTCAGAAGTGGTCTCAATAGTCATTTGGTTGACATTTAACCATGTCTGCTGCACTGAGCTCCCAGAGCCATGGAGCACTTCGGCAGAACCCTCTGGTTCTTTCGAGTTACAAAGTTGTTCCCCAATTCTAATGCTGTTCATTTTACAGACCTGGCCTTCCAAATGGAAGCACCTTTATTTCAGGTGGCTGGGGAAGTCTTCTGAGATCTTTTATGACCAGGAAGATTAGATCCTAGGAAGACTTGTCTGAGGTTCTCCAGAGGGCCTCCAGAAAGGAAGGAAGACACGAAAAACCTCTTCCTCCTTAGGGACTTTTCTGAAGTCAAAGGAGAAAACTGCACTTCTAATCACGACCCTTTCTCTGTGGAAGAGTGGACTTGTCATGCCCAGGACAGCTCAGATTCCAGCAGAAACAAACAATAACATACCCAGAGGGGATCAGCATCAGTGGAGAAGCCCAGCAAAGGAAAGCCTGCCTCTCCAGATCTGGCTGCCTTCAGAGGCACCCAGCTCCAAGCCAGCTGGGCTCAGTTAGAAAGGCCACATGTGGGATATTAGTTTGGTTTCAAATCCCACATTTAAAGCGGGACATTTCTAAATGCAGACGGATGAGCCCACACCTCCAGAACAGATCTTGAAACTGTGTCACACGAGGAATAATTGAGGGCACCTGGAAAGTTAAATTTGGCTTGGCATGCTCAAAAGTCTTCATGGGACACCTGATGAATGCCTTAAAATATTTAAAGAATGGTGGAAGATGGAATAGACTGTATTACCTGGAAAAGCAGAACTGTTTAAATATTTAGTTAGGCAGAAAGAAGACTTTCTGAAATGAGAGCTCTTTGAAAATAGCACACGGACAAGAGTGGTGTCTCATACCTGTAATCCCAGCACTTTGGGAGGCTGAGGCAGGAGGATCACCTGAGGTCAGGAGTTCGAGACCAGCCTGACCAATATGGTGAAACGCCATCTTTACTAAAAATACAAAAATTAGCCAGACATGGTGGTAGGTGTCTGTAATCCCAGCTAGTCAGGAGACTGAGGAAGGAGAATCGCTTGACCCAGGGAGGCAGAGGTTGCAGTGAGCCAAGATCATGCCACTGCACTCCAGCCTGGGCAACAGAGCAAGACTCCGTCTCAAAAAAATACAAATAGAAAAATAAAGAAAATTAAAATAGGTTGCATTGCCTTGAGAAGTGGGGAGTTCTTAGCTGGAGGTGGGAAGGCTGAGGCTATGGTACCACCAGCAGGGAGGGAGTATACCCAAACAGTAAAAACTCGGGGCTTGGGCCGGACCCAGGCTCAGGTTCCAGCTCTGTTTTTGTGAGACTTTGAAAAATTTCTTTTTGACCCCCCAATTACCTCATTTGTGAAATTGGCATAATAATATCTACTCCTGTGGGTCATTATGCAACTCAATGAAATGTGAATTAGCACGAGCGCTTGGCAGGTAAGAAATGCTAGCTTTGTCCTTGTTACTCCCACTATTATTATCTTGGTTTGATAAATTGGATGAGAAGATAAAATAACTCACTCTGATTTCCTCAGATTTCTTCGACCCTCTAATTCTACCGTTACTGTGAAGTGTCATTCCATCAAAGCTCCTGGTAGCATCTTCCCAGTTCCCTGACTGCCCAGAGTGTTCCGTTTCAGTGTGGCTCTGTGTCTTCCTCGACAGTGGCAGATATCCTCGCCTTTCCTATTACCACTCTCTTTATAATCAAAAACAATCTTTCCCACATCCCAGTTCCTTGAACCCCTGTTTTCTTTGGTAATAACTGGCTATTCTGGTAAATAGTGGATATTAAGAGTAGTGCCACATTAATATGACAATCTAGTTACCGTCTCCTTAACATTTTTCTCTTGCAAGGAAGCAAGGGCTGAACACAGGACCTGCTCAAGAACTGGCAGTCAAGAAAAATTCTATATGTTCGTGAGGACAGATCTTTACTAATGAGATTCTGTAGATTAGGTTTGCCTGTTCTAGAGAGATCATGAGGTGGTGATTCAGGAGCAGGGTAGAATACAAGACACTCTCATGACAGGCTGACTTGGGGGATATTCAGCGGCCAGGGTGGGGGGGGCCGCCTTCTGTTCTCCCATTAATTTTCTGAGGAAACTTGAAGCTGACTCAGAACTCTTTCTCCCACCAAAGAAAAGAGCAGACCTACGTGCAGAAGCACTGGAAGGATGTCCGCGTGGGAGACTTCATCCAAATGCGATGCAACGAGATTGTCCCAGCAGACATTCTCCTCCTTTTCTCCTCGGACCCCAGCGGGATATGCCATCTGGAAACTGCCAGCTTGGATGGAGAGACGAACCTCAAACAAAGACATGTCGTGAAGGGCTTCTCACAGCAGGTAGGGCTCATTCTAAGATCTTCGATGGTAAAGACAAAGAGAGGAAGCAAGCCTACCCCACTGGAAAATTGAACTAACCCTAGTGGGTAGCGGGGAAAGTAGTGGATGCCTCCTTTCCCTAGCACTTTAGATACACTAAATCTTCCCAGCAGCCCTCTGAGATGGATCTGATCTGCATTTCACAGATGAGGAAACAGAAGCTTAGGAAAGTTAAATAACTTGCCGGAGGCCTCAGAGTTTCTAAATGGAGATCCACTCTGTTCAACTGAGTAAACTATACTCTCGACTCTAAACTGAGGGATCTAATATCTGTTCTATCATCCCCAGGACCAATTCCTCTTCTGTGTTTATCCAATCCCAACTCACTCTGCCCAGCTCAGCCCTAGCAATCTCTCCTGGCACGAATCCTAATCCTCCTCTACCCCTCCTAAACTGCAGCAAGATATTATTAACTACGTTTCCATTTGTGTATTCCTGAACTTTTCAACAGTGCTTAAGCCTCCTTGAGGGCAGGGAGAGATCATTGATACTTTTTTTTTTTTTTTTAAGAGACTGGGTCTCCACTGGGTGCATTGGCTCAAGCCTGTAATTCCAACACTTTGGGAGGCCAAGGCAGGCAGATCACTTGAGGTCAGGAGTTCAAGACCAGCCTGGCCAACATGGTGAAGCCCTGTCTCTACTAAAAATTAAAATATTAGCCGGGTGTGGCGCCAGGCATCTGTAGTACCAGCTACTTGGGAGGGTGAGGCAGTAGAATTGCTTGCACCCAGGAGGCGGAGGGTGTAGTGAGCCAAGATCACATCACTGCACTCCAGCCTGGGTGATAGAGCAAGACTCCAACTCAAAAAAAAAAAAAAAAAAAAAAAAAAAAAAAAAAAAAAAAAAAAAAAAAAAAAAAAAAAAAGAGAGAGAGAAACTGGCTCTCTGTCATTCGGTCTGGAGTGCACGGGCATTGACGCTTCTGTTTAATACACACCCTTAAATAAATGGTACCTTGAACATCATGAAAAAATCATTATTCTTCGGTGGGTAAAAGCTCAGGCTCTGGGGTCTGACGGAGATGTGTTCCCAGCCCAGGTCCCAGCCCTCTTCAGCTGTCTCACCTTAGGCAAGTTACTAGCCTCTGACACCTTGGCTCCCTCATCTGGAAAATGGGGACAAAGATAGTTCCCTTTCCATAGGGTAGTTTTGGAGACTAACTGGTAGGTACATGACTTACTTAGCAAGAAGACAGGCACATAGTAAAAGACTCGTGAACAGTTGTTATTAATATCAATGCTTTCATAGGGAATATGTGTTGACTGACTGAAGCCGGGTGTGATATTTCAATTTGCAATTAAAATTCTCCTTGTGGGAGTTGATTTCCAATATGGTCCCTTTCTTTAACCAGGGAAAGGAGTACAATTTTATCACTTTTCTTCTTTCTGCCAGCCTTTAGCTGGGGAGAAATTGAATGAGTCAGAGGATTTGAGAGAAAGAAGGCAAATGACTTATTCCTCGGAGATTCTCATGAGCTAGAGCTCAGTTTTCTGGATTCAAACTTCTCAAAATAAGTTTGTAAGTTCTAAGAGCAAGGGTCATTGTACCTTGCTTTGCCTCTCTCCAAGCACCTGATAAACAGTTCTCATAAAACGCTTTTTGTGTGATTGAATTGGTCCTCAGAAGCCTGTTCTCTCATGCATATCATGGGAATAAGAATAGCTATCCCATGGTTTTGCTGTGAAATTCAAATGGTATGAGGAAAGTAAAGAACAAAATAAAGAGCTTGCAATCCAAGAGATTCACAATAAATGGGAACCATTGCTGCTACTGAGGCTGTAGTCGCCACCACTGGAAATGGAAACCACCACCACCCACTGTAGACCAGCAAGCCCACTGATCTCCAGGCTCCAAGTTCCCTGAGCAAGGGCCCTGTCTCTGAGTTTTCTCACCCATTGCTTGTTACCGCCACATTTGCTGAATCACCCTAGTGTTTGCAAAAAGGCGGAGTGAGATCTGGTCGAAGTTCACCACGTCGTTCTAGACAAGCAATAACAATCTGTTTCTGGGCTCAGAGCTCTGTCGCCTGCCCTTTTGTCCAGAGCCTTTCAAATCTCTTTAGCAGTAACAATAAGAAATGCATGAAATATTACACACAGACACACACACTCACACACATGCACGTGTGTATACGCACGTGGGTATGTAAGAATGACAACTTAGCCTTACCACACGCAAGGCATTCTGAGATGTTTCTATGCTATTCTACCTTTCTGTTTTTCTCGAGAACAGGGTCCTGCTCTGTCACCCAAGCTGGAGTGCAGTGGCACAATCTCGGCTCAGTGCAACCTATGCCTCCCGGGTTCAAGCAATTCTCCTGCCTCCACCTCCCAAGTGACTGGGACTACAGGCATGCACTACCATGCCCAGCTAATTTTTTGTGTTTTTTTAGTAGAGTCAGGGTTTTTGCCATGTTGGCCAGGCTGGTCTTGAACCCCCCCGACCTCAAGTGATCCACCCACCTTGGCCTCCCAAAGTGCTAGGATTACAGGCAGGAGCCACGACGCCCGGCCTTTAACCTTTCTTTTTTTAAGTTCTAGAAGCAGTGAAATCTATAAATCACCCCTTTAGCCTCCCTCCCCCAACAATTCTGAATCTTTCTTAGTCTCTCTTGGGCAGTCATTTCAGTGTTGTTTCATTTCAACCAGTGACTTTTCTTTTTGTCTTTGGCAGCTGTTCCCAAGCTGTTTTTTTGCATATTAATTAGTCAGATAGTTTGGGATTTAGCTGGAATGAAGAGTCAGGCAAAAGGGCCATTCACGCTCCAGTGCTATAGACCAGTCAATTTAATAAGTCTCTCCAACTCTAACCCTCAGTTCTCACAGAGCACTTGATGAGATGATTTACCAAAACAAAAACAAAAGAGAGAGAGAGAGAGAGGTAAATTCCTATGCGAAAGGAAGGAGATTATTTGAGCTTCAAGGTTTCCAGAGCTCTCTATTCTGTCTCAGTTCCTGATTCTCCCCCTTCCTTCGCTCAAACGTGCTTTTTTCATTTTAGTAATAATAATAGACTTTTATTGATTCCAAACTAAGGGCTTTGCATGATTATGCCATTTATCCTCAAAACAACCCGATGAGATAGGCACTATTATATTATTGTCTCCATTTTATACATAAGGAATCTGGTACATACAGAGGTCCTGTAACTTGCCCAAGGTCACTGAGCAGGGAAGCGTTGGAGCAGGAATCAAAGCCAGGTTTGTCCAGAGCCTCAGTTTTTAAGACTCAGTGGCTCATCTCCCTGGCCCTTTCATTGTTACCTTGAGTTCACTCAGCAATGCTTACTTGAAAGTACACATTGATTGTTGCCAAGATTCTTTCCACATACAGATAGCAAGTGTCAGGGATAATGAAAATGGGCTCAGCCTGCTCCCTGGGGGGAGACATCTTAGCTGCCCCTTTCGACCTTGCTTCTCCCTTATACTTTTAAGGCAGAAAGATTTCTGAATATGGATAGAACTTGCTTCTGGCTAACTCTATACCATAGGATTTCCCTAATGTATCGAACAAACAAACATGTTGATGAAAATTGCAAGAAAGATAAATGTTGCAAGGCCAAGTAATATCAGAAGGCAATAGGTTACAAGCTTTCAAGTATTGTGTTCTGCAGAACTTCTCTGATACTTTAATAAGCCCAAGGAGAAGGACAGGTGCTATTAAGCAGCGTTTCTAAACATTTAAGCACAAGAAACTTTTATCCCAAGAAACATATCTCAGAGCTATTACAGGAGGGATGGAATATAACTAAGGGATTTGCTTCAAGTTCATTACAGGTGTTGAGGGTATATCATAATCATCACAGGGAAGTTTTAAAAATATACACGCATCCTTCTGTATCACCACCAGCAAATTATGATTCACTAGGATTGAGTAGGGCCTTGAGTGTGCATATTTTAAAAAATTTTCTCCCAGATGATCTTGAATAAACCTATCACCACCTCTTTGAAAACCTGTACAACAAAGGAAAGGCGCCACCTCCAGTGCTTCCAAAAAAAAAAAAAACAACGCTTATCCTAATAATGGGAACAAAACTACCATCTAGGTTCTTCTTACTATATACCAGTTCTTTTACATGCATTGCCTATTTTAGGCCTTAGACCACCGCGGGAAGTAGGCATTACTATCCCCATTTTACACATGAAAACTCTGAGGCACAGAAGGAGCAAATCACACTAATCATCTCAGAGATTTTGAACACCTACAAACATGCTTTGTTTGGAAATTTAATGTCTTACATAATAAGCATTAATGGCTTTTGGTAGTTTATTCTCTCTCTGAATCCCTACTGTCTTTAAGACCCTCACCTTGCCAAAGGGGTTTTTTACTAACCACAGAGATTACTAGAAACATCTCACCCCACACATAGACACACTCTTTTTACCATCTTCTAGATGATGAGAATTACTACATTCTGGTAATTCAAAATCAATAAGAAATACTCTGTCCCAGCTCCCATAGAGCAGCATTTCTCAGAATCTGCTAAGCACTTATCCCAAGAGACAGCTCAAGAACAACACATGGTCTGTGGTCAAGTCAGATTAAGAAGCTTGTGTCCTGTGTACCCCCCTTGTAGGTTCCAACGTTCATTACCATGTGAACATCTCTGAGAAAGCCTGGAGTCAACAGACCTGTTAAACTTTCTTTAGCCCTGAGCTCTCCAAATTTATTTAACCTAAGAATCATTTTTCAGAACAAATATTATTAACATTCCTATGGAACTTTTCAGAAAATATTAGCCTGAATTGTGGTACGGATACAGTCACAACAGGTGAAGAGTAACAGAGAAGTTGACAATCCTCATGGCTTATACAGTCCATTCTTCCCTTTCCTGTTTAGGTTCAAATGAAATTATAAACGTTAAAGAACTTCTTAAAAGAGTCTTTCTCCCATGACACTGCAGATTGTCTTCAAGGTTGCCAAAGAGTTTGTTTCAAATCCTTTTCTCAGAATTCTTCTTGG